GAACATATTTTTTTAATTAATTAGCTTATCGAATAGATTGCTTAAGGTAAATAATAGTATTCTTTTTACACTGTGTTTCCCTTCGTTGAGATGCCTGTTTACAATATAGCAATAGTCACCAGAATCACAGGGCAAATATAACTTTTAAGTCAATCTAGGCTTGTCCGAATTCTCATTTTAACTATAGAATTGCAATGGCAAATTAGGAAGTTTTATTTAGGATGTTTTTTTTGGAAATGTGAGCAGCGAGGGTCCTGAACCTTCTTAAAGATTGCTTCTTTATCCGCGACCCACTAGCCCTGAAGCTGCTTGGCAACTTTGAAGCATTTACACTTGACGCTAACGACTTAGGCTTACTTTTCTCCGAGGATTACTATGTTGCATATTCGTTGCTGAAATTGCAATATATCCTGTATAACCAAGGATTTTGGGAAGCAAAGTTAGCATCATTATGCTTACTTATTTAATCATGGGAACTTCAGTTATTTGTCCTCAATTCACCTCAAGCGACCACGCGTATTGGGTTATTATTCAAGATATATCAATATTTTAGAAGCCAACTGATTCTTCGCATATTTAATTTTTTTAAGGAGCATGGAATCCGAATAAATTTTAAACTTCCACCGATAGACATTCCACCTTCAGCCAAGGCCTCTCCTTATGTAGATTCGCAGGGTATCTTTCATTGGCCCCTGCTATTTATGTATCCTGAATATGGCCAGACTGATTTCTTTCGTGATGTGCCTGAAACCTCAAGGTTAGTTATTTGCCTTTATCTTTGCATTTTTCCTATTTTAATACCTTAACTAATGATGGCGCTGTTGCACCATAGCCAAATTTAATCCCAAGCGGTTTGCGAATCGTCTTTCATTTCGTTATAAAATGTTATGGTCATTATATTCAGAAAAATATGAGTGAGTGTTACAGTTTTAGGCTAATCTAGTCCTCAACAAGCTTTCTTTCTTTTAATATATAGTTATCATCGATGCGGCTTGATATCGTCATTAGATAAACTGTAAGGGAGATTAACCAGCTTCTATGCTTCCTTTACAACCCTTATTCAGACCTAAATAGATACAAAATAATTTGAATGATCTGTATGAAAACCCGCTAATGATACCTGTGATGAGTAGAATAGAGGTTGTATGCTGTTTGAAATCTAAACAAATCATTACTCGAAAGCAATTATTAAAATTGTTGAATCAGATGGTCTGGTGAGTTCAATGTAAGTCAGTTTGAGAACTATAGTTAAGGTATACATCGGTAAAGCTAATCTTATTTAACCACTCTTTTACTAGGGAATGTTCACCTACTCTCTCATGGTGTCATACATTTGTTTGTATTAAACGTATATCATATTCAGCTTCATTCAATTTTTGAGCATGGAGTTAAACCTTTCGTAATTCGGATGTCGACGCGCCTAGAAATGGTCTTTATCGTGTCTTTTTAGCCTCTAAAAAAAATAAACCAATCGATCAGCACATGCATTTCAATTTTCTGCCATCTGTGGAACGAACAGTGGTGCCGTATAAATTATGTTATTTTTATTTTGTTTAAATATATATTAAGGAGTTAGTTTTTTTTATCCTACTAGAGGCCAAACGTTTTGATTTCTGGGACACCTATGTTAACACTTTGTAGTTTAAACCTTTACGGGTTTCCTTATGAATTGTTTCGAATTTTCATCTCGCGAATTGTCATATAAGCACTAAGAGCCTATCCATTTATGCATGTGAGTGCCATCAGATTTTCATATACCCTGCATTAATAAAGATAATATAGAGGCAGACTCGTTAGCCTTTGTGACTCGGCGGGCTTAAGTCCATCATTAAGCATTTGCTGGAAACAGCTGAAAGCCTAGCAAGTGTGCTGCCTTAGGAACTGTCAAAACAAACGTCACACCAAAAAAGGCCAAGGGCATTCTTTACCTAATTTTGATTAGATTGATTTGCGAGCGCCCACTATGCAATATAGATATAACCGACTGGAGAGTTGTGCATTAAAAATTGTATATCCTTATTGCCATTTCATTTTTTAATACTTAGTGTGGATTCTTGCCTTTCTGAGGCTTTCGAGCCATCCCAACCACCTTCGTGGGATCAAGGGCTCAAATACAACTTCGCCGATGGTAATCTAGAGGTATCGTTAATTGATCTTACTATTGCTTTAATTTATTTAGCAATTTTTGTGAGATTATACGTATTTATTAATTTGGTTTTTCTTGCGCACTGGCGGAACCCAATTAGCTGATTCAGTTTGCACTGAAACTTAGATGCATTTGCAATTAAAGTGCATCTAGAGCCTAGAGGGCGCAAGTAAGGCCAAGTAGTAGTTGGTTGGTGATACGGACAGACTTAATTTTTCTTAAAATTTGCCATTACTTTGTCTATTTTATCTATCCTTGGTTATTTCAAAGCCTATAGTTATTATCTCTGCCACTATGGAATTGGTCTCTTCGGAAAACCGCTAGTTGAAGCTACCGGAAATACTGCAGCCCGAAGTTTTCACGAGTTAATAATATTTTTCCTTGATTCTTGGGCCCTACAGATAGCTACTCGGAAAGTGGAGCTGAATAAATAGGTTCCTTCTGTCTTTAGGATAATGTGGTAGTCTGAAGTTCCATACAGTAACTGCATTCAGTTCATTTATTTCTTAATTTTAATTATTCTGCATTATTTTTTCTAGACTTATTTCGAAGACAGTACCTACAAACAAAAGATGATCCACTTTACTTCTTGCACAACTCTTAGACAACTGACAAAAAGAAAAGAGTACGCTTATTCAGGTTATGATTTTGCTACTTGCGCTTTGTTAAGTGTATTTCTCTTGAATATATGATATGATTAAATATTAGATTTGTAGGCAGCCCAGGGTCCAATTATTCAGCAAAAATAAAAATGGCTTTACAATGACTATTATCGCAGTCCAGACTAGATATCAAGATCAAGTAGTGAATCAGTCTTCCGTCCCTCTTGACCTCGAAACCACGGC